TAGAAAAAGACTAGCGTCGCAGGCGGCGATGACGGAAGAACCGCAGGATGAAACGCGGGTGGGGCTATTTTGCGGCAGCTGGCACAACAGCCCGGGGAAAAATTGCCAGCAATTTCGGACGGCGCGTGTATCACTGGAGATCGTGTTAACCCCCCGCCTGCGTTCGCGCCGCTTCGCAGCGACAGTCTGCGGCTGCTCATTAGTGGGCGTTCGCTAAAACGTCATTCGATCAAGTGAGTGCCTCCCGTCCTCCACTTACCCCACTGTCCTCCACTTACCGTTTAGTTCAGCAAAGTTTCGTAGACAATATTCGTTTTTTTTTTCTTTGTTAATTGTAGAAAACAAATGTTGTAAATATCGCCAAATGCCTCAGCAAAAAAAAAAAAAAAAGAAAGAAAGAAAGAAAATTAAGCGTTGCAGGGGACTCCAAACCCTAGCCCGCTGGCCAAATCCGGCCCGCGGAGGCTTTCTGACCGGCCCGCGGCTGGTCATGGTGCTTATATTGAGCTCCGGCCCACGGCCCGCTACCAGTATAGGCCCGCTGCTACCAGTGCGGGCAGAAGTGCGCGTAAAGACGCGACGGCGCGACGAGCACCGAACATACCGGAAAAAGAGAACACTAGCATCGTATTTCTCGCTCGACGCCGAAGCGAAAAAGGCATTTTGAATGCTCGGTTCACACGAAAACTGACAGTGCGGTGGAAGCTGCGTGTTCGCCGGACCAATCAACTGCATGTCTCTTATCGCCAGATCTCGCTCTCCACTCGTGAATATTATGCAGAGAGGGTGTGATCACGTGGCAAAAGACCGGGAGTTGACTGGTTTAGCGAGTATGCAGCTTTCAGTGCACTGTCAGCTTAGGGGAGGACGAAGGATAGAAGAATCTCGAACGCGGCTCCAGCCGCGCAAGCGGTGCGTTGGGGGGGGGGGGGGGGGGGGGGAGGGGGTAGGGGGGGCTGTACGATTCTTTAGCAGGCACTCTGTGGGAGATATGTGGACATGTCGTGTGTTTTGAAAGCTGTGGTTTCAGCCATGAATTACATAAGGTCGCATGGGCTTAATCATAGCCAGTTTCGTGAATTCCTAAAAGATGGTGAATCGGAGTTTGTAGACGTTTGGCGTGCGATGGCTGAGTTGCGGTAAACTGCTTTCGCGTTTTTTCAACCTTAGAGAAGAAATAAGGAAATTTCTCGCAGACAAGAAGCGGCCCGAACCGCTGCTTTCGAACAGTAAGTGGCTTTGGAAATTGTCGTTCTGTGTAGACCTGACGGAGCACGTGAATAAGCTGAATGTGAGATTGCAAGGCGAGACACGTCTTATTCATGACGTATCCATGGATATTAAAGGATTCAGGGTGAAATTACAGCTCTTCGAAAGACAAGTGTGAAACCAGACCTGGGATCACTTCCCCTATTGTGCAAAGCTCCGTACAGAGACTGATGTGGAATTCCCCTCATTCTTCGCAATGGAAATCCTCAGATACCTTCAGAGGCAATTTTTCGAACGGCTTTCTGACTTCGATAGGAGAGTTAGTTTGTAGTTTGACTTACAGTTTGTAGTTTATTCAGAATGGTAGTTTGACTTACAGTCAAACTACATTCTGAAGGAAAACTACAAGGTAGGAAATTTTATACAGTTTTACAAATCCTTGGGCTCTGAGCAATTTCCAAACCTGAAATAAACTGCTTTTTTGCACTACATACCTTTGTGAGCAGACATTTTCAAGGATAAAGTACCTAAAATCCAAATACAGAGCTAACGTGTCTGTTGAACACTTGAAGTCCCTCCTAATTATTGGCTCATCAAGCTTGAAGCCGCAGTTCAGCGAAATAATAAAGCCGAAGGATCAGCTACACCGCTCACATTAGTCCTGCACCTCATGTCCGAGTAAATGTGTCGAAAATCTGATGCATTCCGGCTCAAATACTGCTTAGTGTTTTGTGGCATATAGTCGTATGTTGTCATCATCAGGTTCACCGTGCTTAGTCTCCTGCTTCATATCTGTAACTACGTTAAAATTTCTTTGCGTTCTCGTGTATATTGTGATATGAGTCATGTGTGATAACTATTGCATATTGTCATCACAGTTTTACCGTTCTCGTTAGTTTTTTTATCTGTGCGAATATTCCAGAGTTCATATGCGCTTTGATTTGTGCCTGGTGGGTTATCTGGGTCACACTTATCGTATGTCACAATTACCTATATGCTGAATTTCGAAATAAAGTATATGTATTAATCCACCCTTGATTGCTTCTCGTTTTTACTCTAACTTGAGTTCCTCTATTTAAATGCTCATCAGGGCTTATTAATATTGTTTTTAATGATTTATAACATGTATTTGTTTTCCGGCCCTCGAGACTGCGAGAGGTCCCCAATCCGGCCCCTTGGCCAAAAAGTTTGGAGACCCCTGCGTTATAGGGATTTGTCACAGAATTTGACTATTATTATTATTATTATTATTATCATTTATTTATTTATTTTTTGGAGTTCTCGCGAGCAAGCGCATCCGATCGCCGGACGCTCCTTCGCCCCGCGCGTTGAGCGGCAGGGTGGTTCGGGCCTCGTTCGCCTCGCCCGCTTTCTGTTTTATGGCCATCTGGCCCCTCCCTCGTCCCGAAGACATTTCTCGCGAGGTTGCTCCGTTTCACCTTCCGTCCGAGCACAGGGAACGCTAGGAGCCATCCCAGCCAATGTGGCGTTGAGGGAGTGTCATGCGACCTTGAGCTCCCTGTGTCGCCCCGCCCCACCGGCAGGTCACGCGACTTTTTCCCGGCGCTGGATCGGCTGGGATGGCTCGTGGCGTCCACTGCGCTCGGTCTGAAGGTGAAACGGAGAGTTGGTAGCGATGGGCGACTCGCTTCCCGGAATGTTGGGAATAGCTTCCAGATGTCGGAGTGGGGGTGCGCTTTATGGTTAGCTGGGGTAGGCTCACTGCAAAACTTGCCTGGGACGTTTTTTTTTTTTTTTTTTTTTATGTATTTTGTTGTTACAACTGCAGAAAAAACAATTATTTTTTTTTTTGGGGGGGGGGGCGAGGGAGAGTGGTGTCTGCCGCTAGAATTTGGGAAAGTGAGGACCTCGGCTTGATTCCGAGCCGAGCCAAGGGAGTGTGCGCGAAGACTTGGCCGGGGGGTGAATGCAACGCGAAGTTTGGGCGGGACTGCGGTAGCGACGGAAGGCTGAGCGCGGGAGGTGTTTGGGCTCCCTGGTCCAAGCGCTGCTTTGGGCGCCCAAGTGTGTGTGCGTTCGTGGGTGAGTGCCTGCGCCGAGGAGCCACGCCGACAGCACCCAAGCGCACATCGACCTCCCGAGTTCGGTCGACATCGCAAGAGGCCGCGTCACCCCCATATCACTCACCGGACTCAGGTTCGCGCCACTCACCCCCATATTACTTTGTATAGTTTATCCCCCTTTTAATTGTTTTTTTTTTCTTCCTTTGAGTTTGCAGAAAATGTTCTTTGAACGAGCGCCGTGTTTCCATGATAAGTCGCGCCTGAGCGCTTTCTCTGTGGGGCGGTCCGTTGTGCCTCGCTGTCGGGAGTTTTGTTTGTTTTGTTTTATGTCTATCGGATTTTCAGTAAACCATCCTGTGGTTGGAAAGAAAGGAGTCTGTGTTGTTCCTTCTTCCCTCACTGTGAGTCCGTCACCAGGGCGTAGACCTATCGTCCGGTTAGCGGTCCTATCAAAATTATAAATTTGTTTGCATAGAACATCTTTTTTTTTTTTTCACCGAACCTGTAACAGGATTGAACCAGTGTCGCCAGTGTTCTACTGATTATGAAACAGACACCTTACCACTGCGCCACTTTACAACTTCGAATTGCTGTTTTCACAATTTGTTTTATACGAGACCGATATGGGACAACGGCCGGCATTTTTTTTCCCTGGTGTGCCAGCTACCAGCAGAATATCCACTTCCAATCAAATGCTGGGGCGAGACTGACCCCGGCTCGCAACACGGAGCTCCTTATGTACACAAGTGGGCTCCTGAAAAAATCAGCGTAGGAGGTTCGGCCCATAGAACATTCAAACAACAAATAAGCAACAGGGTTCTCGAATTTACCAGAACTCAAAATTTACAGAAATAACAAGAAGGCGCGCCCGCTCCCAGGCATCAAACCTCGAGCCCCTTGCGTAGGATTTAAAGATGATAAACATTCGGCCACGAGCGCTTGGTCGGCGACGCGCGTGACAATAAGGTGGAATTGTTTGCAGTCATATGAACGTAAACGGTTGAGTATATGGTACTGGTGCGACCATATGAATGAATATAGTTTTGTATGGGCTAGACTATACAACCATACGGAACCACATGTGTATGGTATGGCTCGGTATGGTTCAGTCATATCCAACTATACGGAACCATATGTGTATGGTATGGCTCCGTATGGTTCAGCCATATCCAACTATAAGGAACCATATGTGTATGGTATGGCTTCGTATGGTTCAGCCATATCCAACTATACGGAACCATATGTGTATGGTATGGCTCGGTATGGTTCAGCCATATGGAACCGTATGAATCCATACCATGCCATACGGTTGGCCATATGGAACCATATAGATCCATACTATTCCATATGGTTTGCCGTATGGGTTCATATAGTTTTTTTCAGTAGGGAGGGTACGGAGGGAGAGCAGGGGCATACCCTCCCCTCCCCCTCCTCCAGAACTGCGCTCTAATTTGGCATTACGGAGAATCTTAAACGTCTTTTTTGTAGATATGCAGCAGTTGCACTTGAGTAACAATTTTAGAAAAATATTTTGCGAGATCCCGCTATATGCATATGAGCCCATTGTCAGTCTCCAGTCGTCAGGGCGTCAACTTAATGATTGATAATAGTGTGAGTCTCAAATATTGATGAGTAGACGTAGGACAGAGGCCTGTAGGACATGCTTGTTATGACCATCTCATTCCGCCCACACTAACTGTAGTATGTTCTTCAATCGGTGTCATTTATATCTCAATTGTGTTCGCTCTTTTTTTCTTGTAAATGCAGGTGGACGACGATTCCAACATGGCGGCGGTTTACAAAATTTTCTTCGACGAGGATCTCGAGTACCGGGTCAACCCTCGAGCTCAAATGTACAGGGCAGGATCCGAGCGCCAGATGCCTGAGAAGTGCAAGCAAGTCATTGCTGAAAAGACGGGATAAAAAGGAATGGAAAACAGGGAATATTTTACGAGTAAATATCCGATAAAGCTGGCAATGCTCGAGTGTGTTACTTTTGAGAATTTACCAATTTTCCAGGGATTTACTTCGAGTCCTACAGTGTGTGGAATGTAGGATTTAAGAAAAGAGATATTTTAGAGCTGTTTGGAAGACATGCAACTACAACTAACGTGAGTTGAAGTAGAAGTGTACACGATCAGCCCAATAGCCAATCAACATGAAAACATGTTTTTCCGATGCGAACATGTTTCTGATATACCGATATGTTTCTGATATCCGGGTATCTAGCTTTCGATATCGATCCTATCTACTCGAATCTGTCTAACTGGCCGCGCGCTGCTAGGTTATGTATGATAGGATAGGCTGCGAGTAGCGACCTCGCTAGGTTGTCAGAAATCTCAAATACTTCCGATTTTCGATATTTCATAAGTGATCAGTGAATTGATCATCAACTGATAATCAATCATCCGAGTGACATATTGCTAATCATGACGTCTTATCATGTCACGTACCATCTGCGAATTTAATATTCCTCCGAAGCGACTTTTCGCTGTTGTACCTAGGCTGGCGTCGAACCAACGACCTTTCGTTCAGTTGTCCGACCTCTCCGCCACGGATGCAGTTTTTAAAATATCTTTATTCGGAATACAGACACATACATACATGTATTTACACAGTATTTACACTTTTGAATTGAGGAAGCCGAGTGCTTATGAGCGGGTGGTGATTAAAATTATTTCGTGAGCGTGAGCCTATGAAACACTCCAATCCACCCCAGGCGGGTATTCGCTCTGTTCAAAAGCACCCTTCACCTGTGCAACATAATCAACAAAGAAAATACGCGCTGACCTGGAGAATTGCCCCGCCTCTCTCACCGTCGTCTGCGACTTCCACAGGCTAAACAAGCCAAGAACCATTATCATGTCTAGCGGAAGATTCTCGTTTGCCACGATGAGTGGAAAACGGATAGAATGGGGTGGTTAAGGACAGATCTTTTTTTAAAGTTCGTTGCTGGATATCTTCAAAAAACACTGCGCCCCAGGAGTACAAAAAACTATGTTCGATAATTTCAGGGACCTTGCGCAGTGGTCAGTTAACACCCCTTGGGAGGATCATGCCTCGTTTGAAGAGCCAAAGCTTGACAGGCAGGGTGTCACTATGTACTCGGAAGAAAAAGGTTTCGGCTGACGGCGGAATATACTTTTTTTTTTCACCCGCATAAAAAGATGTTATCGCGGTGCCCGAAACAAGTTATCGATAAGGTGGTGGTACATTTCTTTTTTGCGCGAAACAGTGGATAAACATTTGAGCGAGTACCTTACTGTCAAGAATTAAAACAGTCAATCACTTCTACAAAACACACGAATTTAGCATGAGGGCCAATGTCAGAAGACGCAAAAAAAAGAAAGGAATGTGTTCGACCAGCCTTATCTGAAGCTCCACCTGTATAGACCGTTTTATCGTGGGTAGCGCCATTTTGAGAGCGAGAGAGAAAAGGGGAACGGGCTACCGGCGCTTTCCTCCTTTCTGATTGTGTAGAAAGAGTGGAAGTCCCGGATGAGAGGCTTGGCCGGTGTTGGGCGTCTGCTATGCCCCAACTTCGTTCGCGCTTTCTTCTACGTTTCAAACTCCCAAACTTAATTAAAGCCATGGTCTTTGATGGCGACAGTCCCCCGGTCATCGGGACACCATTGCTGGGTGATAAGGTGCACAAATAACGACAGAAAGCGTCGAAGGCTGTCCGAGGACCTATGTAGCTTGCATGGAATCCGGCAAGGCAAGTACGGCTGGAATGTTTTTAAGCTCCATTGCTTTCCGAATGACTGGAAATGATGAACCATTTATACATTTTTGCCAGCAATGGGCCTATTTAAACGTAGCCGCTTTTAGTTGTAATCAGCAAGCGATACACGAAACGGGAACCTCAATTAACTTTGTAAACGCCCGGAGCTACTACATATCGTCTTGCTGTGCTGTTTTTATCTTCGTGTGCCTGTTCTTATATTTCCTTGTGAATGAACGACGAAGACGCTGTAGATCTACTTTTATCGAACCGCAGGAAGCCTCGAAGCAGCCACGAATTACTTTACTATTTGATGCAAAATTTTGAGTACTCACCTCCAATTTCTATCGCTGGCACGTTCGCTGCCGCTATTCCCCCCGTCGCCACACTGGCGGATGCCATGACTCAAACAGAGAAACGTGCGCACTGGGCTCGAAAACGCAGATCGCAACACGCGAGTCGTTCCCTGCAGCGACTATCAAGCGCCTCAAAGCGCCTTAGTCAACGGAGACAACCCACCAGCGGCACTCGAAGGAGCGCTTTTGCCGGCTCTCTGGTATCGCGCAGGAGATCGCAATTTAAAAAAAAAAAATAAAAAAAGATCAATAGAACTACGTTTTTAACAATTTCCAGCCTCACCCGGCGGCGGAAATAAAAGCCTCTAACTAAGTGTTGTAGATGATAAAATCGATTCAGTCACCACTACAAATTATCACTATTAAGATAAATTCAATTACAAAATTTTACAAGCTGAAACAGCAGTTATCATGAGAAAACTCGCACGCACATTGCGAGCGTACCCCATGTTCATCGGCGGCACAGCGTTCGGTGCGCGCTCCATTCACGAAATGTTCCGAGCGAAGTCGAGAGGATGGCGTTGAGGAAACGCCTTTTCGGTTTACGGACGCAAGCAATCCACTGCCCCCGGAGACAGGAGTCATGTGGAAAGCGATGGAGTTCAAAGACATTGCAGCCGCTCTCGCCTTGCTGGATTCCTTGCAAGCTACATATGTCCTCGGACATTATTCTATGCTTTCTGTTTTTATTCGTGCACCCTATGACCCAGCAGTGGTGTCCGGATGACCGGGCGACTGTTGCCATCGAAGCCTCTGGCTTTAATTAAGTTTTCGAGTTTAAAACAGAAAGGAAAGCGCGAACGAAGTTCGCGCAAAGCAGACACCCAACACCGGTGAAGCCTCTCATCCGGGACTTTCACTCTTTCTACACAATCAGAAAGGGGGAAAGCGCCGGTAGCCCTTTCCCCTTTTCTCTCTCGCCCTCTTTCAGTAAAACGGTCTATAAGTGGATTAGTCTGGTCTCGTAGAAAAATGGAAACGCGAGACGAACTGGCGAAGAAACCGGTGAGGCAGTTAGAGACCGCCCTTGGATATGCGGCTAAAGAGATTGTATCTTCGCATCGGTTCTCCTGCGCGCTTCCACAAAAACTATGCAAAATCGCGGTGAATTTGTTACAGCGGAGCTGGTAAGGGTTAGGTTCTCCAGGATCGTGTCTGGTACCAAACAAATGTTGACACAAACCTACACAAACCTCTGGACAGCTACCGCCATCTATAAGCGACGGCGGCAACCAGACAATCAGTATGGTTACCGTAGTCACTCATAGATGGCGGCAGTCTTTCCAGCTATACTGGGTACATCAGGGGTAGAAGCTGGAGTAACTAATCTTTTAAAAGATATATATAATAGCAGCAAGGTGCTTATAAAATGGGAAACAAATGTATCGGAGCCTATAGAGATAGAGCGGGGGCTTAGGCAAGGCTGCCCTTTGTCGCCTTTGTTGTTCATGTTATACTTACAGGGATTGGAGAACAAACTAGAGCGGAGCGGGTTTGGCTTCAACCTTTCTTTCATCAAGCAAGGTGAATGGATTAAACAATCACTACCGGGGCTGATGTATGCAGATGATATAGTGCTAATGGCCGACAACAAAGAAGATTTGCAGAAATTAATGGATATCTGTGGTACAGAGGGAGATAAACTAGGTCTTAAATTTAGTCAAGAAAAATCGGCAGTGATGATTTTTAATGATAAAGATGGTGGCGAGCATAGGATACAAGAGGTCATGTTGGAGGTAGTGGATAAGTACAGGTATCTTGGGGTATGGATAAATAATGGTGTTGAGTATCTAACGGAGCATGAAAAACATGTAGCGATGAAAGGTAGCAGGAATGCAGCCGTCATGAAACATAGGGCTCTGTGGAATTACTGTAGGTATGAAGTGGTGAGGGGGATTTGGAAAGGGGTCATGGTTCCCGGCCTGACCTTCGGCAATGCGGTCCTGTGCATGAGACCAGATATTCAAGCAAAGTTAGAAATTAAACAGCGGGGCGTAGGTAGGCTTGCTTTGGGAGCTCATGGAAATACGCCGAATCAGGGGGTACAAGGCGACATGGGATGGACGTCGTTTGAGGGCAGGGAAGCTAGCAGCAAGATAGAATTTGAGGAGCGTTTGAGGGAAATGGAGGAAGAGCAGTGGGCTAGGAAAGTTTTCAGTTATTTGTACATGAGGAATGTAGATACCAAATGGAGAAAGCGAACTAGAAAATTATCAAGCAAATATTTGGGCGGCAGTGGGGGCGCCAACCAGGAATTACGGGTTAAGAAAAGGATAAAAGAAACAGAGAAGGGTCTGTGGGAAACGGGTATGCAGACAAAACCAGCACTGGAGACGTACAGAATGTTCAAACAGGAAATTTGCAAAGAAAATATCTACGATAATTCTAGGGGAAGCTCTTTGTTGTTTGAGGCCAGGACAGGAGTATTGCGGACTAAGACGTACCGGGTTAAGTACCAGGAGATGGACACTTTATGTAATGTGTGTGGGGAGCAGGAGGAAACGGCTGAACACTTAATACTTTTCTGTAAAGGGCTTCACCCAACAGTTAACAGTGACCGGGCGGATTTAATCAAAGCATTGGGTTTTAAAGACAGTGAAGGAAAAATAGACTTTACACGGGTAGAAATAACCAAGCGGAGGTTATCAGACTGGTGGCTAAAATCGAGGCAGGGGTGAGATTTAATCTTGGAATTCAAAACATATAATTAGATTTATAATGTTGGCTAGGTGGCGCAAGCCACCGCCCGATTCACAGGGTTTAGCCAGATCCATCCATCCATCCATCCATCCATCATAGCGGATGAGACAATTGAACACATTGTGCTGTCGTGCACCGGTCTG